TCGAAAATATCACTTTCCATCAAAAATGACAAATCTGAGAGAGGTCTGCCCAAGGTACATATACACTGAGTATCAAAAGAATAATAATTGTAGTTTTCAAGAAGAAGTCGAAAAAGTAAAAAGCTGAAGAACCAAACACTGTATTTGCTCTTTTACCTGGTAAGAGCACATTCACTTATGCAGAGATTAAGTCATATTTAATGATTAACATTTTTTTGATTTAAATACAAATATAGTATTTTTTTATCTTAACACAGCAACTAGCAGCAGCATTGGTGATGTTGTGCAAAGAACAGTATGATACTCACCTGCGGGAATTTCTGAGAATACGGACATTGACTGACTACCTGGTGTTGATAGAATAAATTTATACTCTCTGGGGGTTTGCAATTCACCCTCATTTGCTGTGGCTACATCTTCATTCAAAAGAAATGTGATATCCTTTCTGCCAGTGGGACCAGTAATTCTATAAGACAACCAAGAACATACTGGTATTATGAAAATAATAGCTGTTGATTTATTTTTCTCTTGGTTTATGAAGGTCTCATGCCACCCAATTAGGATAAACAGTGTTCGTAGCCAAATCTTATAGTTGTTGTTAACCAATGGGTTTTCTTCGCGTTTTATCTGAGACGCTATGTATGAGGGCATACTTCAATTACGTCAGCTGTTAGACTTGTGTGTGTAGCTTTGTTTATTGACGTGTACCAGTGACCTGTGAACTGTGACCTGTGGATCTGGCCAACTCTTGATGAGACACTTCCAAACTGGCTGCTTTTCTGACAAATCTGCGTGTTTGTTTTTTTCATCCATTTTGTAGGAGTTTGAGCTGACCAACATGTGTTTTACTGGCCAAAATTCTATCACATTACATGTGGTTACAAGAAATTAAAACAATATTTTGATCTTTGTAACCTTTTTTGGGGGGAAATCACAATAACATTGTCATCCATGGAATTCTAATTAGTGGTATCAGCCGCATAGGGAATATCAAAGGACACCAAGGCAGACTCATTTGGCATCAAGTTGATGGCCTTTAATGTCTTTGTGAAGTTCAAGTAATTCAATCTCATTATACCGTACTTCCCCCGAGTATAAGCCCAGGGGCCTGAACATGTAAAATCGAAAAAAATAAGAGGTGGTCTTATACTAGAGGACCACCTCAGAAAAAATCATTTTTTGGTGCGTTTAAAACTGTAACCATCTTCCCAGCCATTTTTTGTTCACAGCGCTGGTCTCGGGGAAATATAACGTCTTTTTGAGAAAACAAAAATGCGAAAAGAGCCGTCATTGATTTCAACGACACAATTTACAATGAAGAAACAAATATGAACAAAAAACAAAAATTTGATTACAATACGGTTCACATATCGCCTGAATTTACGGTGCAAAAATAGGTAGGGTCTGTGGGAAAACGATCGAAGGCAAGATCGTACGCAAATTCTCAATACAAAGCTATTAATAGATTGAGTAAAGCTACTCGCGTCAGAGTGATTCAAGTGTAAGTATATAAACCTGAATGCCTAAATGCAATTTGCATATATCCATAAAGTATAATGCATACCATTTTTATATGTTTTAGAAGCACATCTTTGTCAGAAGTACAAAGAAACCATTCATTGTATGCTGGATAATTGAAATATAATTAATTTTAACCATAGACATAACTTTATGTATTTATGTAAGTCTATGTGATATTTATAGGACAAATATTGATGTTATGATTATACAGTGCAATGTTAGACTAGGCCATCAAACCTAATTGTCAACCTCGTGTAAAATACTTTATTCTCACTTGGAATTAATTTTTGCTATTTTCACTGAAGGAATGATTCAGTGAAAATAAAATCTAGCGAATATACCTTTTTTCCTATATTTTACATTCAACTAATCAGAAATCAGTGAATATAAATTCCATACAAGACACCCAAAAAGTCTTTTCAGTGAAAATTTATTCCAGCTAAAATAATGTATTTTACAGTAATACAGATACAAGCAATGTGAAATTCCACTGTCTTTTATCATTGCTGTGGATATCTCTATTTTCTGTTTGCATTAAATCCAACATGGAGACACTACAACATGATCAATTACAATGTGATACATTATTGTATTTGGCGTGTAGATACTTACAAATCACAATTCAGATCAATTGCTTGAGCAGTATGTAAGAATTACATTTGTTAACATTCTCTGATTTTTCCTTTAATCCAAGATGGTGACCAAACATATTGAATTTATCTGATTGCAATCTACAAGTTTTTCAAGTGTTATTTTTTTTTTTAAATCCAATAAGCCACATAATTGCTATAAGTTTTAATTGGTGAACTTAGAAGCCCATATGCTGATGATACAACAACACAAATTTCACTTTCACCTTCAGAAGTATGAGAAATTCTTTTGATGAACACTTCAGGGATTTCTTAAACCAAGATGGCTGCTAAACCATGTGATCAATGGTTGGTCGTTGGAGTTGTGAGTTGTAGACTCTGTGAAATTAATTTTTAATCATTTTATGCAAATTTTTGTTGAACTGCAAATATTAGGAGTAGAAAATTCAGATTTGTAATTTTTATTTTACCACATACAGACTGCAGTATTCATAGTTATATGCTTGCTCAATAATACTGGTATTGATAACAAAATTATGTAAATGAGATAAAATAGTTCCTTCTAAAGTTGAGTCTCATATATATACCTAGAAAATTGTGCATTTTGACACTTTTTGATATTGTTAAGCTTATACCGTAATGCATATTGGAACAATAAAATCTTCAGTGTCACTTTCACTACGCAAATAAGGCACATGTTCAAAGTATAATTTTGGTAGTGTAACAGCAAATTATGTAAATGAGTCACTTTCATTGTCTGGGAGCCATGCAGCACAAAGTAATTACAACGTCAAACATGAAGGGATGTGCCTATTCTTAAGCTTGATATATGTTACTTTTTTTTCAGAAATTGAGCAACAAATCAAACTGTCAATAAAAATGAATTCTATATAAAAATTAGCAAATTAAAAATTAATCATGTAGCTTTTAAAGCATCATAAACCCAGATTGAAAAAGAATAAAATTGTTTGAAAATTGCCAAGGCAATCACACTCTCTGAAAGTCCAGTTTCCGTCGGGTGAAGGTGTGATTAAAAGTCACATTTATTCTTTGATATTAGTCTCAGAAATAAGTAAAAGAAAGCCCTTTGACTCAAGAAATGTATATTGTATTTTTTTTATTTTGAAACATTCCTTTGTCAGTTGTTATTTTCGTCGCTAACTTAGCATCAAAAATATCGACAAGAGCGTATATGCCAACATTTGAACATGAATATGATGATACGGTGTATCCATGCTGAATATTCACTTGCTTTGGTCATGAAAATACAGACACAAAATACGCCACATCGCTTATGAAAATAACTTCTGTACCCCACAAACGTCAGGCTAAGGCCATTAGGTTCTGTAATATTTCCATGTATATTGTAGGTGCACAGGGTTGTTTTAACTATTTTTATTGAAGAGATTGTTGGATGATAAAATACATTTTTTGGCTTACTTGCTGATTCTCAATTTGCCAACTTCTCCTTTACCCTCGGCTTTGGACCATTTTTCTGCCACAAATTTTGGCATCTGCATGAAAACAAGAACAATTCTACAATCACGAAGTATAAAAAAAAAACATTTTCCACAATAAACCTTCTTCATGTTCTTCAAAAGATGCAGCACTAAAAGTTCCCTAATTAACAAGTATGGTAAGTCAATGTCACATGTGCAAAACTTATTCAATGGGTTTTTTTTCACATAATTCGTTGCAAGCTTAATAAAACTAAATTGAAATCACATTTCAACAACTGTTTCCTTCACAAACTGTGAAATTTCCAGTGAAATTTTCACTGCTACAAAATTTCACAATTTTATCGCTTGTGATATTAAAGCGCGGTGGTCGTCGCGCATGTTCGACATTTGTGTTGATAAACATTGATTTTTCCACAATCCAATGCACTCTTCAAATGGAAATCACAAGTATGAGGTTTGACCAGGGCACGACTTGCACTGATTACCGCCAGTGACTCCTTCGCTACCTTCCAATCACATGCAAATGGCTTTAAA